GGGGGGAGAGAAATAGGAGGAGGAGGAAAGGGGGAAGGAGAGAGTTTTTGGAGGGGGGCATAAGTATGTCAGACCAAGTACAGTCGTATCAACAGTCATAATAAAATGATAGTGCGCATACATACCTACACACATAGGTACATACATACATACATGCATACAAACATACATAACAGACAGACAGACAGACAGACAGACAGACAGACAGACAGACAGACAGACAGACAGACAGACAGACAGACAGACAGACAGCATGCATGCATGCATGCATACATACACACATACATACATACATACATGCATACAGACAGACAGACAGACAGACAGACATACATACATACATCATTACTTTTCACTTGGGTGTGAGTGAACTTAATATGTGCGTGTGTGTTTGTGGGTGTGTGTGTGAGTGTGAGTGTGTGTGGTGTGTGTGTAAGTGTGTGTGTGTGTGTGTGTGTGTGTACGTGTGTGTGTGTGTGTGTGTGTGTGTGAGTGTGTGTGTGTGTGTGTGTGTGTGTGTGTGTGTGTGTGTGTGAGTGTGTGTGTGTGTGTGTGTGTGTGTGTGTGTGTGTGTGTGTGAGTGAGTGTGTGTGTGTGTGTGTGATTGTCGGATAAATTGGTGAAATTAGATAGGAGGCTGAGAGTTTTACAGCGGCTTGAGTGACTAAGTAGTAAATTTACGTTCCTTGAAATGGTGCTCATTAATATTAACGCCAGAGAGGGTTTGATGTAACCCCAATTTCAACATCCGAGTGGATTCTCTAAAATTAAGTTTTTCTTTTGTGGTTTTTTAAAACTATCTCGATATCTCCCAGCTGCATGTCAGTGGTTATGTTGTGGAAGGGGCTGTTAAAGTGTTGGCCGACTGGAGTGAAGGAATGTTTTCGTACAGGGTGTCTGTGGTTGTTGAATCTAACTCTAATGGTGGTGGTTTGACCTACATATTGGGCTGGGCATATTATTTTTTCATGTAGGGCTATTAAGTAGATGACGTTTTTTTGTTTCATAGTCAATTTAACCTGAAAGGACTTTTTTTGAAAAGAGGGCCTTCAACATGGTTGGATGCTGTAATGTAGGGGCAAGATTTGAACCTAGGTTTCTTGCAGGGATGGTTTTATTTGTTGTTGTTTATTATTAGGGGGGGGGGAGGCTGAGAGGTAATTTTGTGGGGAAGGAAGGTGTGCTGTGTCTTTTGTACTACGGATGAGGGGGTTGCCAAGGTTGGGATGTTGTTGGAGAGCGATTAAAGGGGGCTGGGGGAAGCACTTCATCCTCTTGTCAGATTTTTCCAAAATGCTTTTCTGCTAGTTGTGAATGTTGTGGACATTGGGCAGCTTTTGGTGGTGAGTGGTGAGAAAGAATGCCATTTTCTGATGTGGTTTGGTGGGTTTGTAGTCAAGTAGATCATTGTGCCTGAATTTTCTCACCATGTGTAAGATGAGGATTATGAAATTGATTTGGTATCCGCCGTGCAGTAAAATTTCTCTGAAGTCCCTAATTCTAGCTTCAAACCATTCGTCCCTGAAACAAATGCGTCGAGCCTGAGCCTACCACTGTAGACTATAGACCGCAATATATGTTAGGGGTGGTTTGAAGAAAAAAGGGGGGAGGTAGCGCCTAGGGTCGGTTGGTTTGAGGTGGAGGTCTGTCTCAATGTTTTGATTGAGAAAGTGGAGGGAAAGGTCGAGGAAAGCTGTAGACTTTCCGGGGTTGGAGTGTGTGAATTTGATGGTGTCGTGGACGCAGTTTATGAAGGAGAGGAATTGTTGAATTTGTTGGGAATTATCACCATGCAGGGCGATTATGTTATCCATGTACTGCATGACCAAAAAAGTTGGTTAGGGGGTGGGGGGTGGAGATGTTTTTACGCTAGAATTTTTCTATGAAAAGGTTGGCATAGGAGGAAGCTACTGGAGTTTTTATCATATCATCATCATCATCATCATCATCATCATCATCATCATCATCATCATCATCATCGAAAAAATATACTTGAGTCTTGAATAGGGTTGGTCATATTTAATCAGATTTAATTATGGTTTCAGACACCAGCCTGTCTTGTCCTGATCGGCGACACTGAGGTTAGCAAAAAACCCGTAAAAGTTCCTTTACCTCCTCCTCCCCCCCCCCCAAAAGAATTAATCGCCTTATCCCCTCTCACCTTCTCCCCCCCCCCCCCCCCCCGACCCCTTTTTTTGTCTTCCCATCTTCTCCCCCACTTTCCTCTCTGCTACGACAGGCTTCCCTCTTACTACCACGGCACTCAACATAACCACCCCACCCACCACCACGGCCACCACAACCAGTACCACTTTAAGGAGCACCAGGAGATATTTCCGGAGCACCACCACCAGCAAGCACACAGAGACCGAAAGCACCGTCACTTCTGCAAGATGCTTCCCGCCCTCCACAGTCCGTGGCCAATGTCCCCTCGGCTGGCTTACAACGAGAGACAACTCTTGTGTGGCTTTCCTGATGACGCCATCCTTCTTAGAAGGGTACAAAGATTGCAGCAAGAAAGGAGGCAAGCTGTTCTCCATCGGTGAAAAGGAGAGACCGTGTGTTGCAGGTGAGTACTTTCCCTTTGATGTTGGCCACTGAGTCGTTGTTGCAAGCAATTCACTTACGTCCAAATTGTGAATATGTTCTATGTTTTCACCCCCCAAAGCTCTATCACAGATGTACCCATTCAACATCACTAAATTACAGTTTAATGGTATGGTCTAGGCTTAAAATGAATTTGCTTTTCAGGATTCCTGAGTGGAACAACACTGCAAAAGTTATCAGAGGTCAAGGATGAAAAAGGCTTAGCGACGAAAGTTGTCAAATCTTATATACATGTGCTTATCCCAGCGTTTTTAGTTTTCGCTTAGCAGGTCAGATTTTTGCAAAATTCACATATTTATAAAAAATTCAGGTATTCTTGAGTTCGTAAGGGAAGGTAAGAATAACAGGCTCTATTAAACAAGGGAAGTAACTTGTATTATTTCCAGAAAAGCAATAAACCAAGAATGTTATATTTGCATAATATTCTATGTAGTTAAAGTTTAAACTCCAGTCTTTTTTATAGTTTAATAGTAGTATAAATAGTGATAGAAATACTGCAATCTAAAGTTCGAAAGACCATGCAAAAAAGCTAAACAGTGATGTTTAAGTTTTGTAAAAAATTCACTAGAAAACGTCTAAGGGAGGTAATCATTGGATGATGATTAATTAAAGCTAAGGTAAGTGGTTTCCACTGTTAAGTTGTGTCGTTTTGAGGATTACTTCTCGAATTTAGTGACCACCCACAGTGTTTTTCTGTTGTGCTGCTACAAAGTCTAGACAGAAAAGGTAATTCCCCAATGTCAGTGGAGATAATTAACTTGAAAGAGGGCTTTTTAGATGGACGTGGTATTAAAAGAGTCACATGTCATGACACATTTGAACAGATGATGATTTCACTTGAGAAAAAGATGTCACTCAATGAACTGAAATTACCAGTATACAATTGTATTTTTGATGCTCATACGAATTAGATTTAGGGGGTTATACTTAAATGAACTAAAGAGAGAAAAAAGTCCGATGTATCGTATTAAAATTCCTGACTTGATAGAGAAAAACTCACTCAACATTGGGATTCTACGACCGAAATACCTTATGAAAATCATATTCACATGCCTATTATACCCCAAAGGTGTGTGAGACGTAATCGGTTTTTGGTTGAAATGAACTAAAGGGTGGAGGTGGATGGGGAGGGGGGGGGCTGCATCCTGAAAGTCCCGATTCGGCCTTCAGTCTCTCCTAGATCTATTTCATCAGATAAGAAACGCCTAAAAACTTTATTTCTTTCCATACCTGGCATGTTTGTTACCACCATATCCTCATAAAATAAATCTTTGATTTTTTAAAATCACTCCTTTTCTCAAAATGCTATTTTTCTATATACTTTTAAAAATAACTCCACCATTTTCCATCCAATCTTCATGAAGTTTTCACAGAAGGAAGAGAAAATATATTACTAAAAAATTGTCTGTTTATTATATGGAATAAGCTTTTGTTGGTGGTGTCTGGAGTGTGGATTTTCATGATTTTTTTGCAAACCTGCATACTACCTCAGGAAACATCGAAAATGTTCTAATTCATTTAGAAAAAATACACGACAAAAATGTGTTGGTCTGTTGTTTGTAAACATGCATGCAAAATAAATTTAAAAAATAAAATAATAATTTTTAAAAAATAATAATAATAATTTTTTTAAAATATATAAAATATATTTCCATGAGCATTAAATGCAGTATCCATTACGTAAGGCATGTCAACTAAATCCAGTATGACCGCCGTATCCATGGAAACGAAACTTTTTTTAGCAAATTTTATTGCAGATATCAAGACTCCTGATTTTGCTTGTTATGTTTGAAATTCGACCCTCTAATAAGCAAGATAGCTTTCAAATGCGCCCCCCCCCCCCCCTTAAAGAGAAAGGATAAAAAAAATTGTGACTTATCATTTTAAAAATCCTGACCTGATAGAGAAAATCTGACACCAGATTCGAATTCTATGACTCAAATTCTAGATCTCTATGTGAAAATCATATTAACATGCAAAAAGCCAATTTTTTTCTTCTAAATTCTGTCGACTAGTATTAGGCACCCTACACATGTACATTCCAAACTGCCAGTTCAGAATGGAAAGGCATACCTGGCGGCAGAACCGCATAATGTGGACGAAAAACTGCTAGAAAACAAAGTTAAACCGGGAGCCCGAACCAGGGATTTCAACGTGTTGATATACTGAGTACAGTTCAGCGCGTTCGTCAACGACAGCCTTTGTATGACGTCAGGGGCTTATCCGGCTTATCTTATCACTGCCAATATCGTCAAAATAATTTACCGCACATAAAATCTGATTGTATTTTTGAAACGGGCGACCCAATTTTAAAGCTAGAGTAAAGCAGAATATGTTGGGGTTTTTTTTTTTTCAATAATCAAGGAGATTTTTAAAATTCCCTCATAATATGC